AGAGAGAGAGAGAGAGAGAGAGAGAGAGAGAGAGTTCTACAATGCTCATCCCCTACAATTTGGACAAGCCTTAGTTGGTTTCAGATCCATCTTTGTCACAATAATTATGCCCATAATTTTCAGAAAACAAATTTTCAACTCATATTCTAAAAGTCTAAGACTTTCCTGGTAAGGAATTAGATCATCATCCAAATGCAAACATTTTTTAGAATCATCCCTAAAGCAAAAGGACAAAAAGAAAAACTGAAACCATATTTCTGACAATAACATCATCATTCTACTACCATCACAGCTATATCATCCGATAAGCTTTTTCTCGTACCATTCCCACTTCTACTTTCAATTTCATATTTCCCACTGTTATTGAGCTTTTGGATCAATTATTTATAAAGGATAAAAATATTATTCATAGAATAAAAATATGATGATCAAAATAACAAGAAAGGTTAAGACTTTTGAGTGACCATTGAGTATTTTTAAGATTAAAAAGATTTTATAAGAAACCGTCATAGTTATATTTCTGATAAATTAAAAATAATATTTTTGATAATAATATGATCATTCTAGTATGCCACCATAGTTATATCATTCATTAAGTTTCAGCTTGTACCATTTGTAAACGCCCTCAGTCCAGCCGGAGGCCAGTATAATAATTTAACTTGTAGATTTTGCAATAGGAATGTAAGACTAAAACTTGGATAAATAATTTACCTTCATAGAATATTCATCATATTTTAAAATCATACACAATTCAATATGGATATTCATTACATCTTCAATAATTTCAACAACTCATAACCATACGAAATCCTACAGAAATTTCATGATCAAAACTTGAACAAACGATATATCCTTATACAATCTAATAAGTTATATACCATAATACAATCATCGAAAACTTTATAGCATATCCACACTAGTCCAAGAATAGACATATGAGCAAACAATAACCTAATAAGCACTATGACTCGTATACTAATCAAAACTTATTGCAAATGTGTATAAATAAATAATTATAATTTTTTCTTACAATCAATTTTTATTTTTAAAGCAAAGCATATAAAATGTCAAATCATTTTTATTATTTCTATCAAATATCATATAAAAGTTTTATATTCATTTAGAGTAAACAAAGTCATAATTATAGCTAAATGATATATCAGAATAAATACCACATTCATGCAAATGACCATGATCAATTATTCATAATTTAAATAAATATCGCTAAAGATGTATATCTAAATTTCATAATATATATAATTATAACAAAAGTTACATGTCAAAAATAATAGTCACAGTATTATTAATGGCTACAATCATATTATATAGCGTGATAATATTTAAAACCATGTTTATCGCTCATGATATAGGTAATATATATCTCGTTTTATTAAGGTCTCAAGAAAACTAGTTTCTATATATCTTCCAATGTATAACCCCTATTAATAGGGTTTAGATTATAACCATATTAGTCATACAATTTTAGATATTAAATATATTTAAAAAATAAAATATTTGAATAAATTCTTTTTTTATCTTTCATTTCAAATCTAACAATTTATATAATATGTAAAACTAGTAAGAATAAATCATTTTCAATTCTTAATAATTAAAATATCGAATCAATACTTTCAAAGTCGATATATATTTTATTTAATAAGTATAAATCATACAATTCTATAAGTTTCAAACATATACATTAAGCATACATATTACTTGGAAAATAGGCTAGACAAAGTTATTTGATACATGTTGGGACTCAATCCATAACTCAATAATCTTCTCCTAATTATAAACAAAATATTATTCACTGATCATCTATAAATCATAACCAAACATCATATGCAAATTATTTTGATTGTACTCTCTTTTCTTCTTTATTTTTGACTGTTACTATCTCTAATTATTCTGAAATTTTATCGATTCCTAAATACACTGTAAGCACATTTACTGCTTGTTAATACATGCTTTATCTTTTTTCTTTTTCCTACATAACCATTTGTCCTCTTTTTAGTTAATCAGAATCATTGTTTCTAACATTAAGCTAATGCTATTTAAAAGTTAATATCATTAAGGATCTTATTAACTTAGAAAGCTTAAATTAGATAATTAATAATCATATTTAGTAATCTAAGTAACAGAAAAGCTTAACAATTTAAAACCATACCTAAATTAATTTTCTGATCTCTAATCAGAATTCTCTAATGCCAAAATCGAAGCCTTTCTTCTCTTTCCCCCTTTCACCATTTCGTTTCTTCCTCATCTATTTCATTCCTTTCTTGGGCTGTTTCGTTCCTTTCCTCTTTTTTTTTTTCTTCTTTCCCTTAAAACTTCTATTCCCTTCTCAAAATTTCTATTTACAACTAGGCTCTTAAAACAATATAACTATTACACCATTCCCTTCTTCTACGAAGCTTTTGGATCAATTATTTAGGAAGATGAAAGAATTAAAAAAAAAATATTTATAAAATAAAAACAGAATGATTAAGACGATAAAGAGCATCAAGATTTGATCATCGAATATGTTTGATACTAAAACAAAATTATAAGATTTTTATTGGACTAGCATTTATGGATTTAAATGTTGAATAATAAAAAATAACATATATAAAATATTTATGGCTGAGATAAAAATAACGAGGTGAATATATAGAGTGATTAGAATAGATAAGAAAAAAATATTTTTATTTATAAATAATTAGGTATGGAGATAAAATGAGATAGAATCATTTAAAACGATATAAACATATATATTTAGTAGAAGTGAAATAATTATGGTTAATTTCATAACAGCTTTCCACTTCTCCATGCAGCCTTCATCAAGAATCTTATGTATCTATCTGCTTAGGGCTCCAATGAGATTCCAGATTGCTTCCTCGATCCACATTTTACTTGCCATTCTAAAAGGTTAGGATGTTGAATTAGAAATTGGTCTCCTGGAAATTAATATACTCCCCCGTCCTACAATTATATGCAAAGCAATTGTGACTGTGATCGACCATGAGGACCAGGACCCAATGATCCAAGAACAAGCAGAGCAGGGAACAGGTACCAGAAGAAACGCCTCAACCATATCACTCCTCGACCGTCATCATCATCGAAATAAAGATCAAAAGAATGAGCATCTAACAAAAGAATCACTTGCAGGAACGGCAACAAACTTGAAAGGATCCAATAAGCGAACGAAAGCACAAATCGATCGACGATTCCGACCAATTAGAGACCAAGCGATGAAGAAGAGAAGAAGAGTACCTCGTCCTTCTTCACCCGGCCGCGATGATCCAAATCCGAGGGCTTGTGGAGCTCCGATCCGAGAAGGAAAAAGGGTCGTAATGCCTCTTCCTCTCACAGACACCTCGAAGATAAGTATATTACTATTTACAAATTCCTATTTATTATTTTTATTTTTAAATTTTTAATATTTTAATATTATCTTTCGATATAAATATTCTATCTTTTTTTCACTTTTTTATTTTTTTTCTTTTTATCTCTTTCTTTCTCCTCCTCCTCCCTCGATTTTTCTTTTTTTTCCTCGAAAAACAATGTCGAGAGAACAACGAACGAGATCGATTAAAGGATGATGATTGATAACAAATACAGAATAGGGCCAATGATAGACGACTGAGAATACTGAGAGCATCGATAGCGACAAAATACGCAAGCAAGAGAGGTGGGATAAAAAAAATTATAATAAAAAAATAGAGGAGTTATAAATAATTTTATTTTTTAAAAAGGATCGTAAATGATAAGAAGATTGTGAATAGTTAAAAAAAAACTCAATAATAAGCTCCCAGTAAAACCATTTTTTTGGTGCAGTGTACCGAAACTACCCTTGCTGACCTTTCTTAACGACCGTAGGATCATCAAAGATCAAAGGCTGGGATCTTCCAACGTGATAGTGTCGGTCGGAATTAACGGTCCAGATCTCTTCATCTCTTGGCCAGCTGACCCCGATGAAGCCCTATCTTTTTAAGCACCCGTTTATCCGACGGATTCCTAACCCTCCTGGGGAAGGCGGCGACGGACGGTGGTGTTGTTGCTCCCGTCTTCGATAGAAAGGATCCTTGGACTTCTACAGCGGGATGGTAGTTAGGATCTCTGTTCTTCGATGGTAACTCTATTGTTCCTCCAATCACTGTTAGCTCGATGTCTTCTCGATTCTGTAGGCGCCGAAGAAGGACAAAGCTCCGCCACCGTCTTCGAAACCGGCCAAGTCTGGCGGAGGAAAGCAGAAGAAGAAGGTAATCGGACGAAACCAGGGTTATCATAAGGGTTTTGTTACGATTTCTGTCTATTTGACGATTTCTCTTTCGTAGAAAGAGTTAAATGATGTTTTCATCTTGCTTTGCTTCAAAGCTAGTTTTTTTTTTCTTGAGTTGATGGATCGGATTGATATATTAGGGTTTTGGATGCAGAAATGGAGCAAGGGAAAGCAGAAGGAGAAGGTGAACAACGCGGTTCTCTTTGATCAGGCGAACTATGATAAGATGCTCTCCGAAGTCCCCAAGTATAAGCAGATCACTCCCTCGGTGCTGTCTGAGAGATTGAGGGTATGAATTCCGATTTACTTCTCCATCTATTGCTTATATATTTTTGTAGCTTAATTGTTATAATTTATGTAAAATATAGTAACATAATAACTTTGTCGAATTAGGTGAGATATGTATGTCTTGCTTAGTGTATAATTTTCACAAAAGCAGATCTCAGGCTTATATAATCTTTGTAGCTTATTGTTATGATTTATGTAAGATGTAGTAACATTATAACTTTGTAGAATTAGGTGAGATATACATCTTTCTTAGCGTATAATTTTCACAAAAGCAGACCTGTGATAGCTTATGTTTGGTCTGCTTGAGGGATGAGTCTTTTGGTTGTAATATGAGTCTGATGATTGATACCCAAACGTATTTTGTTGTTGTCTACTGTATTTGCTGTATATCGTATTCGTATATCCTTTTAGTGTAGTGTTTCATGGATCTATTGAGTGGTTGGAGACACATCTTTGTGGAAAAAGTCACAAGGTATGGGCACAGAGACAGACATCTAGAGAAATCACCTTAAAAATAACACAGTTTTTGTGTGTTTATCAAATGTACATGCAGTATACATTGACCTTGTACAAGAAAGTTTTTGGAAAATGCTTTTTACGATATTAGATGAAAGATACTAATATAAACATGGCTAAACTGAAATCTAAATATTAATTATAAAGATTTAGTGAATGGGAGGAGTAAATTTTTCTTTTTGTAAAAGAGGACTTTGCCAAGCAATTTATTTGCATTATTCTTGTTTGTTGCACTGTTATGTGGGACAACTGTTTTTTATACTTTTGTTAGTGAAAATGATAGCCTTTTCCTATTATCTTTCTATAACAACTAACTAATTGCTGAAGAGAAAAAGTGAGCTGTAGGGTTTAGATGGCTTACAATTAAGGGGTAACTTCTGGGTGTAAGATCATCTAGGCACTTATTGGTCACTTGGCACCTAGAGATAGCTTGAAAGCATAGGAGCCTTAGTTGGCACTGACATATCTTTAGGTTGTTATATCTGTAAAGAAGGCTAGATTTTTTTTTTCCCTGGTTCAAAAATGCTTCCAACTGACTCTTCCATGCATTTACTTTTTTGTATGCTGGCCTGCATGTATCTGCTGAAGTATTTGATATTTTGGTGCACATCTGCTGTTACTTCAGATTTTTGCTAGACTAGATGTTGGATGTTGGTGTACCATCCATGGGCTTGCATTTTGGTTTTGTAGTTTATAAACCAAGTTAAAAGTCTTTCTTTGTTGGTTCATGAAGTATTTGATATTTTGGTGCACATCTGCTGTTACTTAAGATTTTTGCTAGATTAGATGTCGGTGTACCATTCATTGGCTTGCACTTTGGTTTTGTAGTTTATAAACCAATTTAAAAGTCTTTCTTCGTTGCATCAGTTAGTAGGAAGTCGGAGTAAATGCTCTGGTATGTACTTGTAATGTCTACTAGATGTCGGGTTAAATTTTATTTATGAATTTGGAATACTCTTACTTTCTGATTTCTTATTTGTCATAGCAAAAAGGATAATCTTGTGTTATCTATGCATCAAATAACCTTGCAGAAATTATGTGGTAGAATATCCAATATTGTCGTCTTTCCTGCCCAGTACATTAATGAATTCTACATTAATCTTGTGAACTTTGTAGTACTGTGATGTCTCACTGCCTGTCAAATAATTGTGCCGATGATTTATGTATTTTTAATATAGCTCGATGTCTGCTACATCAAGCATTAGGGAAATAGTGGTAATTCTACCTTTGATTTCTTTGACAACAAATAATTTGTTCTGGCTCTTCTATTCTCACCAATAATAGTTTATAATTGATGTGAATGTATTGGAGTCAGATTAATGGGTCGCTTGCGCGAAGAGCGATCAAAGATTTAATGGCAAGGGGTGCCATCAGGATGGTGTCTGCGCATGCTAGCCAGCAGATTTACACAAGAGCCACTAATGCCTAGATATGTCTCATTTTGATATGACCCTAAGCACAGGATAGCTTCCTTGGCGTGGGGGCATTGCTGAATTCATCCTTTCTTTAGGAAACGTTGGAGTTTATTTTGTGAAAACACAGCAGTACCTTTTTAAATTTGGATATTCAGATTTTTGTGATGATTCAAGTATTTTCTTTTGTGGTTCTTAAAGCTTTACATTACGGAATCCACGTTGGATACTATTTGGTATTTTCAGTTCTCTTTTAGCTCGCATCAGCCACGTGCATGAGTTGCATTGACGCACAGAGACTCTTGAGAACTCACGAAATACCGAAGGCGATACTTTATGGCGCTCGTTGGGGCTTTGTACTCGGCATGCTTTGGTATGAAAGAGTGTCGTACATTTCAAGAAGACTTACTAAAAGCCTCATTCTCACATCAGTCAAAACAGCACTGTACACAAAAGAACAGATGGAACTCTATTCCTCAGAGGCAACTGTTTCCCTCGCTACTTTCCTCACTAGCATCTTAGCTGTCCTCGCTGCTCTGCTCGTCTTCTTGTTTCTGGCACTCATCTGATGTTGCTATCTCTTCAGACGTCTCTCCTGCATTTTCTTCTTTAAACGCTGTAAAACCAATAGAATGAATTCAGAGGGGTCATTGCCGGATCTTCCCAAGTGAAACACGTCATTGCAACTAACACGCATCAAACAGTATTCCACAAATAAAGCTTCAGATGCTGAAAACATAAAAGTAATATATCTCCCCTTACCTACTACACCTTTGACATTTAAGCAAGGCTGAGTGGTACACACACATATATCATCAACTATTCAATCTCAAGAAACCTTTCTGAAACTATTAAGTTACAAGTCATTTACTCCGACAAGCAATAAATAGGGATTGGAAGGTGGTAACTCTCCACCATCAACCGCTGAGCATGCAAGAAGTCTGAGATGAACCGCATATAAGAAGACAACTAGAAAGAGGGAGAACCCAACACGATGTGGATGAATCTTGCATCAAAAGAAAAAGGACTAACCCTCCAGAGCGGCTTCAAGGTCTCGAACGAATTGGGGGAAGTTGATATCCTTGAGGGCGTCGAGAACGTGATCAGCATCCACCGTCTTCTTCCCACTTTGCTTGCAAAGATCCCTTGCCCTACACGAAACCGTAATGCACGTGTGTAAGATGACCGATCAAGATTTCGAAACAGCTTGTGATCATTACCAAACCCCATGAAGAACCTAGCGAATCAATCGTGCCAGGAGAAGAGAAGCAGAGAGGAAACAGAGACACTCACCTGGCGCATAGATGGTCGATGAAGGCACAAGTGCTCTCGGTGAATGCGAGGAGCACATCGTCCTCCACCACGACCTCCTCTTTGTCCCCCAGCTCGTCGGACAGACGAGCGAGCATATCCTTCACCATCTGCAACACGACCTCCTTCGGCAACACATCCACCTGTGTCTCCGAGCCCTTCGCCCGCCTCGCCGATCCCGATCCGCCCTCTTCGTCACTTCCTCCCGCCTTCTTCTTCATATCTCTCTCTCTCTCTCTTCCCGTCTCTCGCCTTCCCGCTTCGAAGTTATATAGCAGAGCTGTAACCGCCTCTTTAAACGGCGGGATTACAATTGCAAGAACAGGACAAAGCGGGCGGAATAACGGAACGGTCGTTGGTTACCATTGCCATTTCCAAAGTGATATAACAAATTATTCGATTTTTTTATTGATTATTTTGGGAAGTGGTTAATTTAATTTAATTTTTTTTATGTTTGGGTTTTGGGCTTGCACAGACCGCAATGAATCTAATTTGTTATGCACCATAACTCATTTATTGGTACTATTTGACGATATGTTGTGTTCCTCGTATATCTTTTATCCAATTATTAGTGACAAAGAGTATATAGATTAATTTGAGTATAATTTAGATTAATACTTTATTGACTGAGTGGGCAGTTCTCCCACCGATAATTAGTTGTACACGAATCTAATTCTTCTACAAATAAAAGCGAATTATAGGTAGAATGGGGTCTGCTGTTCTAATCCATCCTGCCCGCTAAGACCCAATCAGTGGATCATCCGATCCGAAATCCGTTTTCATTTTAGAGTCATTCAAATCTTATTAGTATGAAGATCCAACCTGACCTGGTTATCTTTCCAGTATTCAAAAAATTATTTTTTTTTTTCAAAGGATAAATGACGAAAGTGACATTCAAGTTTAGTCTCTTCCAATAACCTGTCAAAATTTCTACCAACTAAGTTAGTTTGCACATTCAATTTCGTTCTTATTTAGACAACCGACTCGTGCAATCATCCATATAATATTGGGGCACAAGCAAATGGCCAAAGCCAGAGATTTGATTTGGGTTAACTTGAACCAACTCTGATCACTGGTATTTCGTCAAAAAGTAGTGCTCCTGTGGCAATAAACTGCACTCGAAATATTGAATGAGGTTAAAAAGAATTAATCTCTGATACTAAATAACAAGCAAGCTTTCAAAAGACAACCTTCCCATTTTCCTGGCTGCTGCTAAAACTGCACATAATAGGTAGAAATATCAGCAACATCAGCATTGCATCTTCCTGGCTTCATCAGAATTCTCTTGATTTGATGCACTGCAGTGAACACTGAGTCAAAGACCAGCACGATCCATCGTCAAACTCATGCTTGTTCATCAACTTATGAACAACTATTTCTTGTGCCTGTAATCTAATCAGATGTCCAAACATGAGTTAGTTGCCACTGTCAGAAAAATGCTGGATGCCCATTTTAATACATTAGAGGGGTTATAGAAGAGGAGAGGAGGAATTACATGATCAATTTCCCAGATATAGGAGAAAAAGGATAGACGAGCATAGTAAGCGCACTCCTCATATGATGCAGAACGATAAAAAAGCTGGAAAAGAAAAACAGGGCATGTTAGAAAATGGAAATTATTTTGGATGGATAGAGCTTCATGGGCAGGAGATTCATACAAGAATATAAAACAAAACTTTGAAAGGAAGATTTTGTGGATGTTAACATTTATCCGAGGCCTTTTTATGCAACAATCATTTGCCAAACAAATAATTTTACTCTAATGTCAAACACACACGCACACACATACAGAGACAGAAAAAATAAAAAAAGAAAGCAACGGGAATCGACATGAGCCATTAAGGGTGTTTGGAAGGTCAAGTCAAGTCATGCTTGACCTGAAGGTGACCAGACCACTTGCAAGGTCAAGCTTTCTTGGCAGAAAACCAACCTGTACTGTCAGTAGATCAGGTTGAACAGGCTATAAGTCATTGAGCAAATAAGTTGAAGTGGATTTGACTCTTAGTTCAACGTGTCACTTGCTTTTAAAGCACTATTGTTCATTTCTCTTCCATTAATTCAAAACACATCTTCCTTCCAATTTTCACAATACTAATTACAGCGAAAAAAAATATTTGCATGCAAATAATTTATTGGAAGAATAATGCACAAGTTTTGATTCTCTAGCCACCAAATCACAAGCATGCAACTGCCTACGTATTAAAAGGAAAATAAACAAAGTTTTCTAAATGCCCCTAATGCCTTCTTCACCGTGATAATATCAATGCAAATTCAAAAAAGCTACCGATATGTCATTTAGTTGAAGGTAAGTTTATCTAATCAGTAGTCATGCTTCACAAAGATTTATGATATCAGTCTCATGTCCATGGTTGATCCATAAACTTTGTCTAGAGACAGATGAAAGCTTGCAATAAAAAAAAAAAGTAAAGGTGAGAGGCCACTAAACTTAAGAGATCATAAAATGATTTGCACCCGTTCTTTGGGAATAAAGCATCCAATTGGCATATCCAGGACAACATTGAGCAATCAAATTAACATGAAAATTACCAGCTGATCAACTGATTTCAAAGCTGAAGCTGAAGTATATGAGGCAAAGACTAGCAACATTGAGAACAATGCTCAATAAACTGTACTGACCTAAAATTGCCAAGGCAATCAGTACTGCTGATGCCAACTGAACTGGTCGTTGATGGTAAACAATAAAATACAAAGATCTTTGAAGTCTCCTCCAAGTAGAACCTATTAAACCATGAAGATGCAAAGCGCTTATCATTCCCTCATGTTTTGGTACCTGTAACCACCCCATCAAGTCATTTACAAAGTTTATTTCAAAATTTTAATTAAGAAAAAACCTCCACTGAAATAAACAATGGTGAAATTGACTCAAACTTTGTTTGTGCAAATGCATGCTCTTTTATATTATAAAATAAAAAACAGGATGTGTGACGTATTACATCACTAATTGGATAAAATGCTAGTTCCTATTAGGGTAGATTGGCTGTTTGAGATAGAAGCTAACTCTGGATCCAATCTAATTTTTCTTCGAACCGGTCCCAAGGTGGAACTCACTAAGTCGGACATCCCAATACCGCAAAACTAAGTCAGGGGCATTCCCGACCATGCCTCTCCGATGCTTAAGCCAGTAATTCAGTTGGTCAACTAAGACAAGTTAGACTCGATTTGTTCAGTGTGTCTTGGGCAACCTATGCAACCTCTTTTACAATGGGTGTTTGGGTGGTATTATGCAATCCGTTTAGCGAGAACTAATCATAACTACCCTTGCTGATCCCGGGCTATTGTATCAATTTGTTACACTGGGGAACTACTATTGATTGATCTTGGGTTGTTCCGCTTGTTTAGCTCAGCCACGTGTAAACCAATAGTTTGGACACATGGCGAGGAGGCCCTTGCTGAGCAAACGACGATAATGATGGTTTAGAGTGCTCATGGACCAGCCATGGAGGAGTACCACAAATAACTGGTCGGAAAGTATAGTTTGGTTGATACATGTTGTTTGTGTAAGAGACAATAAAATATCTAACTCGAGCTATCCGACTCGGTATGTCCAATTCGAGCTGCCCGACTCGGTATGTCCGACTTGGCACATCCAACTTAGTAGTACTAGTGTAGCATGCTAGCGACGTACTCCAACTCAGTATGTTCTTGACTTGGCATGGTGGTGTATGGGGATGATACAACCAGGTGTGGTGGCATGGTAAGACAGCACGACTAGGTATGGTAGTACAGTGTAAACGCACAATGGATCAATGAGGCCAAGGGTGGTGGCACACAAAGGGCTAGTGAAGCCGAGCACGATGGTGCACAAAGGGCTAAGAGGCTGGGTGCAGTGGCGCTAGGGGCCAAAGTGGCCAAGCGCGACGGCACACAAAGGGTCGATAAAGTTACATACTATGGCATCAAGGGCCAAAGAGGCCAGGCATGACGACACACAAAGGATCAACATGGCCGCATGCGATGGCGCTAGGGGTCAGAAAGGCCAGGCTCGACAACGCATTGAGGGCCAATAGGGCCACATGCGATGATGCAAGGAGCCAGAGAGGCTAAGCGTGGCGATGTACATAGGGCCAACATGAGTGCGTGTGGTGGTGCTAGGGGCTGAAGAGGCCAGGCGCGGCGACACACAAAGGGTCAACAAGGCCACGTGTTGTCACGACCTTAGCTGGAATTGCCTAAGGCGTGCGGCACCCTTGCGGTCAAAGACGCGATCTTAGCTTGCGTTGCCTAAGACGGGAGTCACCCTTGTGGCAAAGACGCGAACTTAGCTTGCGTTGCCTAAGTCGCGCTCCGCCCTTGCGATCTTGCTCCGCAAGGATCAGCCCACTTTGTAACCTCTCGCAGGTCCCGAAGGACCTGTAAAAGAGAAAGAGAGTTAGATCGAAAGAACGAGCGACGGACAAGTCCCGAAGTCTCGCGAAAAGGAAAGCTTTACAAGCAATTCGTCGAACAACTTGTGTGCACAAGAGAAAAGAGGGAGAGGGGGAAAAACAAGGCTTTCAAGGATGAACGAACAGCTGCAAGCCCACAAACAGCCGTTCACCTGGTCCCGGGCGCAAAACCAAGTTCCCGTAAAGGTCACGTGCGAACTTGCGAAAGAGTGTTCAACGCCCGGTATATAACCGAAGCCCCATCCAGCCATGTGCCACCCGGGGGGTTCCTGGGGTCTGAGATGGCTGACATTTTGGTGAGCGGAGGCAGCTCTCCGCTCACCTCCCGCGGCACGCGAAAACGGAGCTGTTTTGGGCTGTTTTGGGGTTGTTTTGCTCGGTTCGGTGAACGATCGCTTTGCAACGTTGCAGCTTGTTCGAACTTACATATTTACAAGCAAAATGACCCAAAACCATAAGAAAACATGCTGTCAAGCAGCTGTACATGCGGGTGTGAGCGACGAACGGTTCGTTGAACGGAGTTGTTGCGGGTGCGCGACGACCGTTCGTGACATTCTCCCCCACTTAAACTGTCGATGCCCTCGTCGACGCTTGTTGGTAGTTGGTGATGACTTCTTCTTCATGTCGCAGGGCGTCTTCAGGCTCCCAACTGGCTTCAGTTCGGGGAAGCTTTCGCCACTTCACCAAGTACTCTGTCTGCTCCGCTCCGTTGGGTAGCTTTATCTTGCGATCCGCCAGAATGGTTTCCACTCGCTTCTCGTAGGAGGCTGTGATGGGAGGTAGCCGAGTTGGAAC